AAACCAAAAAAATATGTTTTCATGGCATTTTCCATAAATGCAAAAAAATCCCACCAAAAGAACTTGAGCCTACTGCTCAAAGAGTAACTCAATAGTGATAATCTATTCAGTTGATGAAAAGTTATGCAAACTACAAAAATACTTGCAAAGAAAGTTAATTGTCAGGGCTAGAGCTATAGTACAGTGGGGAAGGTGTTTGCCTTGCACGTGGATGGCCCGGGTTTGATCCTCAGCATCCTATATGGTCCCCCAGTAACTCAGGAGTAATTCCTGAGTGCAGAGTCAGGAATAACTTCTGAGCATCGCTGGGTGTGATCCAATAACGCCAAAACAAACAAATAGAAATTTAGGGGGGAGGGGACAGAAAAAAAAGTTAATTGTCAAAAAACAGATTGAAAAAAAACAAAACTATGCAAACCTATTTTATTGGAGAATACTATAGACATTTAGAAATAGTACTGGGAGAAAATAACCCCTCACTTTTCCAGGAGTTGCTATTGAATGATTAGATATAAGTAACATATCATCTTATTTATGCTTTTCCTCATCTTCCAACTCCTCTAGGATGAACTGATAAGCCGTTTATCAGAAATAAAACATTTTTAAAGGTCAAAAAACAATAAGTTGTTACATCGAGATTCAGAAACCTACAGTAAGCCTTTCCCTGTCCTAGATTGGCTATTAGGAAGTCGCTTGCTTTTCTTATTCTAAACTGGGAAGGTATTGCCGTATTACCAAGCAATCAGCCACTAGGGTTCATTCTAGAGCAATAATCAGACCACTTAAGAGAAAATCAGTGATGCTCAGGAAATTAGGGCTAGAGACCTACACTGAGTGATCTAATGCATCCCTCAAGAATCCACATCATATACATTACACTTTCTGGTGTGGGCACTTTCTTTTCAATACTTGTAATATCAATCGTTTGTAAATATTTCAAATGATTGCAATTTCACTGCCTCATTTTTGACCAGTCCACGAGCTATTAATTCATTTACCCTGAGCAAGATAGAAAAACTCCAACAAATTTCAGAGATGGGCACCTGGTGGGCTTGCTTTTGATGAATAAGTTTTTTGATGAATAATTAAACCTGGTTTAAATCCCAGCACTCTGCTTAGTAGTATAACCTTACACAGGGCCTTTTTTCTAATACTGGTTTTCTAAAAACCATGAGAAGGAAACCTCTCCACCAACCTTGCATAAGGCATTGTAGGATTTAAATCAGATGATGTGTCATGGAATGCACTGAACATACTTAGCAAATGTTTGATGATTCCGGAATGCTGGACCAAAGTTGAACATTGATTTTCCTGGCAGAGATGATGCCCTATGTCAACTCAATAAACCCTTCTTTTGTAGTTCTCTGGAAGCCACCCGAGGGTTGTGAATATCACAGTTTGTGACCCTGAAATAGAAAAATCCCATTCGGCACTCAAATCTTGAACTGAGTCACCCTCCAAAAAATGAATCAGACTCACAGCACGAGTCAGACCCAGGTAACACCCACTGGGTCTTCACTGTTAATAAGAGATGTGATGAGGGGCTGGAGCAATAGTACAGTGGGTGAGGCGTTTGCCTTGCACGTGGCCAACCCGACTTCGATTTCCAGCATCCCATATGGTTCCCCAAACACTTCCAGGTGTAATTCCTGAGTGCAAAGCCAGGAATAACCCCTGAGAATGGCCAGGTGTGACCCCCACAAAAAAAACCAAAACAAAAAAAGAGAGATGTGATGAGAGCACTGGTCGTGAGAATGAGGTAAGGAGTGATGAGTCACATTGGAGATGAAACCAATAGGGATTAATGGTTAAAGGGAAGAGAAAAATAATCTTCCTGAGCTCCCAACTCAGAAACTTAAACGCAGGATAAAGTTAAACTCACAGTTTATTGATTGAACAAATATCTATTGAGAGTTGACTAAGAGTTAGAACTATTCTGGATACTGGGATCCCATAGTGAACCAGAGAAAAAATATATGTGTCTTTATAAACTTCCTTTCCAGTGGAGAATTAGACAATGAGAGAGGGGAGGGTTGTGAGGACAGAGTGAGTTGGTGACCAGGCAGGGCAAATGAGAACCCAAGGAGAAACCCTGGGGAAGCTGCTTCTTTCTTGGGGAAAACACTTTCGTCTTTGACAGAGAGTTCTTGAGGAGTCTGGAACAATTGCCAGTGATCGAAAACTATGTTCTAAATAAAAACTAGAGATACTCTTGGCATTTGAGGAAATGTTCAATTGCATCAAAGTCGCTGAAAAGTATTTTTTAATATAGGTTTATCAGGCATTAAAAATACCTATTTCTAGCCAGGGAGATAATACAGGGGGTGGTTCGGACAGAGTTTATGAGATGCTTGCCTTGCATGCAGCTAACACTAGTTTAATTCCCAGCACCACATTGTCCCCTGAACACCAATAAAAGCGACTCCCAAACAGGACCAAGAATAGCCTGAGTATTACTGGGTGTGGTCCAAATTCCATATCCTCCTCCCAAACATTTTCCTGCATTCAATCTCCAGCAACAGAGAGAGAGAGAGAGAGAGAGAGAGAGAGAGAGAGAGAGAGAAAGAAAGAAAGAGACACAGAGAGAGAGAGACAGAGAGAGACAGAGAGAGACAGAGATAGATTCTCAGGATATGCCAGACACAGTAACAACAAAGTCTCCAATGGAGACGTTACTGGGCCCGCTCGAGCAAATCTTTTTAAATATTTTTTAAAAATATTTCTGAGGCCAGAGAGATAGTACAGTAAGTAGGGAGCTTGTCTTACACATGGCTGACACAGGTTCAATCTCCAGCACCCCATACAGCGCCCCCCAAATCTTGAGCGTAGAACCAGAAGTCCTGAGCACTGGACCAAAAACAAACAAACAAACAAAAACATATTTTTGTGGGCTTCCTCTGGGCAATTTCCATTAAAATAGGTCTTGGTCAAGATATGGAACTATTTTTTTAATGTTTCCAAGAAATTCTTATCCCTTCATTTAAGAAATGTTGCTTATATTCCTAAATATTAGAGATACAACTCTGAACAAGTTATAGAGCTTACAGTCTAGAGAAAAAACAGACCATGGAAAAGTAAACATATTTACTCTTACTGCTGCACCCCTCAAAAAAACTGGTAGAATATATAATAGTTATGGGGACCTACACTAGATAAATCTAAAGAGAAGAACTCTGTGCAGAAGTGACATTTGAGTTGACAGTTGGGAATTAGGAGAAGCCAAGTCATTAGGATGGGTGGGGGATGGGGGTGAGGGAACCACATTTAAGGCAGGGGAAAAGAGCCATTGTAAAGGCTTAATTGTGAGCTCAGAAGATGAATCTAATCACGATGAATCTGATTCCTTGGTTTATTCCTACTTGATCTACTGACCTTAGGGTAAGTGAAGGCCTGGTGGAAAAGGTGCTGATCAATCCTTTTGTACCCGTCCAGCAAGTTACACTAAGTCCTGTGATATCAGGCACTTTGCTGACACAAAGGTGAGCAAGAAGTTTCCCTCTAGCTGCGATTTCGCGTACTTCAAGTGGCCTCCTGAGAACATCCCCATCTCATGTTCGAGAAAACTGAGTCGATGATTCATTCTTGGCGATGTGATGATGCGACCAACTGTTTTGGAGACCGTTCTTAATAAAATGAGTAACTGTTTTAGAGATGATGCTTACTAAAATGATTTGCATTTCTCTGGGGCTCAGACTGCTGAGGATTCTGGATTTGGGGTGAAGACTAATAAGTCTGAGATGCAGTCTCAAGGCTGCATGGGGGGAAACAGCTGCCATGCGTGTGTGCTCAGAGTCTGCAGGCTTTTTAGGCAATCCAGTCTTCACTAAGTTTCTATGAGGCAGGAACTCAGATGATCAGCAGAGTGAAGGGCGCCCTCTGGTCAGGTGTGACAATTTCCCTCCCCTGTCTGGGTTGGGGGTCCCACAGTTCAAGTCTGTAGGGTTTTGTGCGGATTGCTTGGATACTGATCAAGAGCTTGTTGGTCTCTGTCCCAAGTGTCCATCTGGATTGTCTATGCCACTCTATCTACCTGCATCTCTCTGGATTGTCTATGCCACTCTATCTACCTGCATCTCTCTGGATTGTCTATGCCACCCTATCTACCTCTATCTGTCTCCCAACCCACCCTATCTACCTCCATCTGTCTCCCAGCCCTGTAGGTGGAAATGTGGCAAGGCAAAGTTTCTGCTCCCATGCCTAGGAAACAGTGGGGGGCTCTGGGTTGCTCCTGTGTGGACCCCAGGATCTTCCTGCATATACTCCTTTGTGAAAGGTTTGTCCCCAGGCTGAACACTGTCCTACCAGCCCACCTGTGGGGGATAAAGAGGGAAGGGGGTTGCCCAGTGTTCGAGGTCTGAGTACCAGGGACTGTGGCTGGAGGAGCAATTTGTTCAACAGCTAGTAAACCTGAGGTCAGAGGATGGGGTAAGGCACCTTCTGGGTGTACAGAAATGCAGCTTCCGGGCGAGACGCGTGCTCTACATGCAGGAAGCCCAGAGTCTGATCTCCAATATGTAGTGGGCCTTCACACTCTTCACCAACCTCCCCAAAACACTGGGAGAGAGTTCCCAGGCCCTGAATGCCACCTAGATCCGCAAATTCAAATTTAGTGGAAAAGAAGAAGAAGAAGAAGAAGAAGAAGGAGGAGGAGGAGGAGGAGGAGGAGGAGGAGGAGGAGGAGGAGGAGGAGGAGGAGGAGGAGGAGGAGGAGGAGGAGGAGGAGGAGGAGGAGGAGGAGGAGGAGGAGGAGGAGGAGGAGGAGGAGAAGAAGATTGTCTTCAGCCAGGGGCCCCATTTGCGACTTAAAGGGCCTTGGGCTTCGATTTGCCCTCTGCGTGGGTGTCACTCTCTCTGTCCTGAGAGCCCCTCTCCCTCCTTCCCAGGCGGGCTGGCGCCCTCTCTCCTCCCCTCCCTCCCTCCCTCCCTCCAGTGCCCGGCTCCTGGCGGGGATCCGGAGCTCGCCCGGCCCGCGGAGGACGCGGAAGGGGTGAGGTCACGTCTCCCTGGAGCCCCGCGCCGCCGGCTTTTCCCAGGCTCGCCTCCCGCGGGCCGCCAGAGTTCCGCAGGCGCCGACCGCGCTCGCCCGCCGCGCCCCTGCGCCGCCAGCCTCGCCCATGTCTCAGTACGCCCCCGGCCCCGACTGCAAGAGCGCTTTGGACAGCAGCCTCGAGGCCAACATCGACGATGGCCAGGCCGAGGAGGACCTGCCCAGGCCCCAGAACTACCTGTGGCTCTCCATCCTCTCCTGCTTCTGCCCCTCGTACCCCGTCAACATCGTGGCCTTCGTCTTCTCCATCATGGTGAGTGGCCTCGGCTCGGAGAGGGGACAGCCCCCGCCGGCCACCCGCAGCGTGCGCCCCTCTCGGGACCGGGACCCCCCAAGCCTCGCGCCTGCTCCGCGCCCCGGCGGCGCTCGGCTTCAGCCGCCCCTCCCCGCCAGCCCTCCAGCCCGCGGGGCGCGCGCTCCCCAAACCCCGGGGAGTCCCGGGGCTGCTTCTCCCCTGCCTCCTCCGACGTTCCGAGGCCCCGTCCGGGCCTTCTCAGCCCGTTTCTCTAGCGCCCCCGAAGTCAGGTGCCCAGGCCTGGACCCTCGGGGCTCGCGCTTGGGCACGCACTCCGCCCGGGTAACGTTTCTTCTCTCGCTTCTTCGCACCCCAGCTGCCCGTCCCTGGCTTTCCCCGCTGCACCCTCTTGCTGGACCCCTCTTTGTAGCTACCCCCAGCCCACCCCCGGCGTCCTTCTCACCCGGGGTCTTTCTGGGACGCACCCCGTGCAAGGTGAGCCGCGCGCCCGCAGTTTCTCCAGGGTTTGCAGTGCTCAGACGCACTCCCTGCTTCTCTTGGAGCACACCACACACACACACACACACACACACACACACACACACACACACACACACACATCCCGGCCGCTCCCGCTCCTTCTGTCCCGCGCCTGGGGAGCTCTGGGGAATGTACCCCCGGGCTCCCCGCGCCTGGAGCTCCGGGGCGCGCGGGCGCACTTGGCACAGGGGTCTGGGAACTCTGCGCCCCTCTCCAGGAGAGGCTGCCTGAGGCTGCCAGTCTGTCCCTCTGGGAGGAGTTCGCCTCCCAGGCCGACCTGCTAGAAACTCCAGTGGTGAATCCCACCAGGAGGGCGAGAAGCGCCAAAAGGTCCTTCCTGATTGACTGGCACAGCTGGCGGGAAGGGGAGGTGGAGGCGGGCTCTGCCCCGCACCAGCCGGACCACCCCTGCAGTGAGCGCCCTTCTCCAAACGCCTCCTCCTCCTCGCAGCTTCGCAGCTTCGTGATGCGACTCCCCAGCACCGGCCCCCGTCTGGATTCATTGTCGTGGCATCCTAGTACGCCCCCCAACCTGCTGGCTCACAGCTGCCCTTGGATGGCACCAAATCCACCTGCGTGTTACCTGCAGAGATCTTACCCATGAGCGCATAGCATGGCGTCTCCTTTCCCCGAGCTTGAGGTTTTCCAGTTTGAAGTTTTCTGGCTCACCATTGGCCTTTCGCTTACCTGGGTTGGAGTCCTGGTTTCGCCATGTACCGGCAGTCTGATCTCTGGAAATCACTGCCTGTCTCAACCTCAGTGATGGGAATAATCTTAACCACCACATTCCTTAGAGGGGTTGTGTTGGGATAATAATTGCAAAACGCTTGGCCTCCTGATCAGCAAGATGTATTATTTTTATTTATTAGTAGTAGTAGTAGTAGTATTCCCAAGGTTTGTTATTACTATTCTCAAGGTCTATTATTATTATTATTAATTATTCCCAAAGCCTGAGGTCATCTCTACTCTTTATTTAAAGTCGCATACCCAATCGAGCAATTGTGGGGTGCCAGGTTAGACCCCCAGTTCCACACAGTCACCCCACGCAAGGCTCGGTTCCCCTTTCCCTGTTGCTTTTTCCCCACAGTACTTCTTTCATCTTACCGTTCTTTCACTTACTGATGTACTTTTTTGCAGCAGGGATGGTTGGGGGAGGGGGTGGGGTGTCTCCCAAAAGAGAATCTGGCAGAGGCAGCTGCTCAGAGTTGACCGAGGCCCATGTGAGTGAGTGATCACGGTGTTGGCGTTACTGCTGCTGTGCTGTGCCCATTGCAGTTCCCCGGAAGCTGAGCATCGAGTTCCTTAGTACCAATGGGACAGCTTCCACCCTCCCTCCCTTCCTCTCCGGAGATGCCCAGTCTTTGCTTTTTCGCAATGAGGCTGGAAAGGATGTAGCTGCCACACTCTCCTGGCAGCACCAGGGTATCTGGCTGGCTCTGGGCCCCGCTCGCCATCCTGTGATAATTCACCCCTTCCAAGAGCTGCTGAGAAACCTGCCTGCAAAGAAACTCCCATGGGTCCGAGATGAGCTAACGTGGAAGCTGGTATGACACTAGCGATGCCACTTAGAGTAGGCTGGAAGGTCAGATTCATGCCTGTTAGTGGGCTTGGAGCGAGGACATAGACTAGGCATGTGGCAGACCGAGGTTCTATTCCCAGCACCAAATGATCCTCGAGTAGACCCTACACTGTCTGGTGCAACCCAAGAAGACCCCCGCAGGGCCAGAGCCTTACAATGGGTAAGGTGCTTGCCTGGCACTCAGCCAATATGGATGAAATCCCCAGCATTCCATATTGTCCCCCAAGCACTGCCAGGAGTAATTCCTAAGTTCAGAGCCAGAAGTTACCCTTGAACATCACTGGGTGTGGGCCCCCCAAAATAAGAAGCTTCCCCACCCAAACTACTACTGTATGACAATGATATTGGAAAAAAACACTGAACAAAAACTGAGTTCTGAAAGGAGGTAAAGGGACCTGCATGAGACCCTTTCAGTAACAGTACTGCAGACCACAGAGTCTAAGAAGAAAATGAGAGAGGGAGGGAGAGAAGAAGGGAGAAGAAAATTGCCTGCATAGAGACAGGCTGCGAGGGTGGGATGGGGGGGCAGGCTGAAGAGAAACTGGAGACATTGGTGGTAGGAAATGTGCACTGGTGAAGGGATGGCTGTTGGACATTATATGATTGAAGCTCAATCATAAACAACTTTGTAACTGTATATCTCATGGTGATTAAATTTTAAAAAAAAGAAAAAGAAGAGAGAGAAGGCTTCCAACCCTGTATCACCTGAGGCATAGCCCTGGTCCCCAGCACCTCCTGAGATTCCCAGGGAGCTGCAGCATCGTAGAACCTGAGCAGCCTCCTAGTCCTGGGTCCCAGTTGGCTTAGAATTGCCAGTGGAGCCCCTGCGTCTTCTGGTGCCATCTGGGAGTCCCCGCCCCAACAACAAAAAAAGTCAATCTGTTTAGATTGGAGACCAATATCTTACCTCCTCTTCCTCATCTTCACCCACCCAAGCGTTTTTCTGATAGTTTTGTAGCAAGAGACCATTCTATTCCCCCTTACTGGGCTTAGGTTTCCTACATTATCTGGGGAGAGAGAGGGTTGGGTCACACCCATCAGTGCTCAGAGGTTGCTCTCAGCTCTGTGCTCAGGAGTTGTAATGCTCAGGGCGTCACGTAGGGATCAAACTGGGGTGAGCAACCTACAAGGCAAGTGCTGAAATCCCTGTGCTAATTGTCTCACCCCAAGTTGCATATCTTTAAAAGCCTTTTACAAAGTTTCTCCACCTATGAAATGGGAAACTGAAATGTTGGGCAAAGTTGTAGTGAGACAGAAACAGCGAATCATGCCAAGCCCCAGCCCTGTGCTCAACCCACGCAGCAATTATTCGATGAGTTGATAGAGGCTGAGCTGGGAAACATCCTATGCCACACAAAAATAAACAATATCGACAAAGTGAAATTCCAGATTCTAAAAAGAACCTCCCAGCCCTGCCCATGGCACTCCCTCTAAAGTACTGGAAGAGAGGCTAGAGCAATAGCACAGCGGGTAGGGCGTTTGCCTTGCACGCAGCTGACCTGGTCCGATTCTCAGCATCCCATATGGTTCCCCAAGCATCGCCAGGAGTAACCCCTACGCATTGCCAGGTGTGACCCAAAAAGAAAAAATATAATAATAAAGTACTGGACGTGTCTCCCATTGAAATGGTGCGGATCTTTCCTGCATGAAAACTTCAAACTCCAAAGAACATGGTCAGAGATATGACCAGAGGTGAAGGCACTTGCCTTGCACACAACTGACCCGAGTTCAGTCACCTGCACCATATATAGTTCCCCGAGCTGTGCCAGATGTGATCCCGAAGCACAGAGCTAGGTGTAAGTAAGCCCTGAGCACCTTCAACTGCGGGAAGCAAAGGAGAAAGGAAAATAGGAAGGAATGGAGGGAGGGAGGGAGGAAGGAAGGAAGGAAGGAAGGAAGGAAGGAAGGAAGGAAGGTTAAATGCAAACGTGCATTTAACCTAGATTCAGTTTCACAAACAGCTAAGAGTACCAGTGGCTCTCCTATGAAGGGGGGAGGGAAGGAAGGAGGAAGGAAGGAAGGAAGGAAGGAAGGAAGGAAGGAAGGAAGGAAGGGAGGGAGGGAGGGAGGGAGGGAGGGAGGGAGGGAGGGAGAAGAGAAGGAAGGGAAGAAGGGAAGGAGGAAGGAAGGAAGAAAGGGAGGGAAGAGAGAAGGAAGGGAGGAAGGAAGAAGAAGGAATAAGGGAAGGAAGGAAGGAAGGAAGGAAGGAAGGAAGGAAGGAAGGGAGGGAGGGAGGGAGGGAGGGAGGGAGGGAGGAAGGAAAGGAGGGAGGGAGAAAAAGAGAAAAAGACTGACCAAGTCTGCTTGGGTGTCTCATGATTTCCATCTTAGCTCCTTTCAAATTTCAGTCATTTGTGATTCGTTCAGCACATCATTTCTGGGCATGGAATGATGCCCAGAAATGATGCTCAAATAGAGACATTTGAAGTGTTGGGGAGCATTTATGGTATCTCTGTAACTTGGGGCCACTATAAGCAATTGTTAGAAACAGCTAAGATTACCAGTGGCTCTCCTATGAAGGCCTGACCTACCTCAAATATCAGGATGAGCCTGACAGAGAAACGCTATAAGAAAAGTGGAAGTTGGCATAAATGTGGACATTCGGAAAATATTGAAAGCACTCAAAATAACTCATTCCCAGACTATGAAAAAGAGCCAACAACTAATGTATTTATTTATTAAACTAAGCCTTAGAACCCTATGAAATTGCAAAGTTGGAGTAGGCACTGACGAATGATAAAACTACTTCAGAAAACATGGACATTTGTGGAAATAGTCTTCTGAGAAAAGCTTTGCTGGATCTTTCCACCAACCTCATTCCAAGCCGGAAGAACCCTGGGGCTAGTACCCACATATGAGCATCACTACAACTTCCAAGTCCCCTGTTCCTGAAAAGAGT